ATATATATATATATATATATATATATATATATATATATATATATATATCACTAGATCACTAAGCGAAAAAAAACAAAAAGGTTACAAAAGCAGCAAACTGTTCCTGTGGACATAATGAACACGAACTTTTTAATAGCTTAACGTCTAACCTCGCAATAAGTTGCTTGACGCTGATAGTTCTAAATAGTTGGTGTGTTTTTTTTACTGGTAGATCATGCATTAAGTTTACTGTGCTTTTTTAGACAACACTAACCTCAAGAAAAAACATCCTTAATGTACCAAACGAATAGCCTAACAGGTAAAGCCCAAAGCTTTTGATCCTATCTTGCTAGATAATTTTACAAGCTCAGTTCTAGAAGGGGGCTGGCTATTCGCAACTAGCTGAGCTTTCAAAAACATTCAAGTTATGATTCAAAGATGTTATGTGAGCCAAATTTATTATTTTCCCCCTTTTTTAGGATTTTTTAGTTTCAATATTCTTTTTATTTCAGGATTTTGATTTTTCTATCTTAAAAAATTTGATTATTTAAAAAGATATAAACCTATTAAAATAACAGATCTAAATAGGAAAAAAATATCCCGTAATAAAATATTATTACGTTAAATGTCCTAAAAATATATTGGAGACCTATTATTTGCTGTCCTTTTATGTTGTTTCCATTCCGTCACTGTCGAGTCATTCGATGGTGCACGTGCTTTGCCGATGAATCTCCAACCAACTTCCTTTCAAGAAATATCAATGCAGTTCACACTGAATTTTTTCTCAGACACCAAAATTGCTACTCACAACAACTTTTAAGAGCTACATAAACGAGCCACTGAAGGGGCTGTAGGAGCAGAAAAACTAGCATAGCAATTGAAAATAATGGAGCTAGCAACTATAGGAAGAAATGCTCAGTCATCATTTCGACGTGGCACGATAGGTCTAGATATGGATGCAGATTCCAGTGCAGAGGAGGATGAGGGAGTTCATTTGCAGTGGGCTGCGATTGAGAGATTGCCAACCTTTAAAAGGATCAAGACCTCACTGTTTGAAGCAAGCAATGCGAAAGATGGCGAAGGGAAGAAAGTAACTGATGTTACTAAGCTCGGGGCAGCAGAAAGACATCTCTTCATCGAGAAGCTGATAAACCACATTGAAAATGATAATCTCAGGTTGCTACAGAATCTCAGAGAAAGGATAGACAGGTAGGTTTGCCTCACGTTCTTAGGACATGAAACGTTTGATATCAAAATCTTTAATGTTATTGACTGTCTGTACTTCCGACAGATATTTATTCGAATATATTCCGTAGAATGTATTCACCCCTGCAGTCAGGGAAATAGCAACGTGGACCAGATTTCCTGACTTCGAGTCACAGTTATTTATTTGGATCAGTCCTATTCCTAAATTTAGCAAATAGAGAACCAATAGGAGATTTTTGCAATTCAGATTCAATCTGTGTTTACAGTTATGTATGGACAAGTGCAAGTAGCTCCCGTCTGCGGGTGGAGTTTCAATTATGTTGCTAAAACTAACAAAAGACTTTCTTATAGAGTGGGCATGAAGTTACATACTGTGGAGGTGAGGTACAAGAATTTATCTGTGGAAGCAGAATGTGAGGTAGTTCAGGGAAAGCCTCTCCCGACGCTATGGAACTCCATAGCGAGCTTCTTGTCTGTAAGTTGGCTTTTCTGTTAGTCTATTGTTTGACATTCTAGGCCGTCTCTTAACTGTTCAGAAAGGGTCATCATTGTAGGACGGAAAAAAATTCTGACGAGTCCAGGACCCGTACTTGATTTTTAAGATAAAATAAGCATAAATTATCTCCAACAGGATTAACAAGCCATGCCATGAACAGGGTTTCAGAAAGATAGCGAGAAGCAAGCCACGAGAAACCAAGATAAGCATCCTTAAGGATGTTTCTGGCATCATTAAACCATCAAGGTAACGCAAATCAATGTTTATAGAGTATTTAAAAAAGACAGCTAAATATAAGATTAAATTCAGATTAATTAGAACTGCAACTTTTTTTTTTTGGCAAAGTAAGTCGGTTAAGAATTTTAAATGGAATACATGCGCGCGCGCGCACACTTTGAAAGAAACATACTGATCCAAGTAGAATGTCTGAGATTGTCATTGATGGAAGACATCGTATATGCAGGCTTACTCTTCTTCTTGGTCCGCCAGGCTGTGGGAAAACCAACTTATTATTGGCTCTTTCAGGAAGACTAGATCAATCCCTTGAGGTTAGTATTTAAGAATGCTGAATACGATGAGATTTGAGAAGGTGAAATGCTGAGCTTCAATATTGTTAAGGCAGTTTGAAGCTTGTTTTGTGTTAATTTGGCACCCTTTGAGTCTCATATGATATGTAAATACATGGGAATTCCAGTGAACTCCATGAAGCCTATGGGGAAAACTTCAGAATCCTTTTTCCAAGAACCAGCTTAAAATCACCAAAACAAAGCGTGTTTGAACACACCACGAAAAAACGAAAGGACTGCAAAAACAGATGATGCATTTCCATTATCCTTGATGCAGAAGCCAGATATTAGTCTTTTTTTACATTCCACAGGCACGAAACAACTCCATTATTACAGTTGTCACAAAATCCCTTTTCTATTCTTTATTACAGGTTGAAGGGGAAATATCTTATAACGGTTACAAGCTTGATGAGTTTGTTCCTCAAAAAACATCAGCCTACGTAAGTCCATATGACCTGCACATGCCTGAGATGACTGTCAGGGAAACTATTGACTTCTCGGCACACTGCCAGGGTGTTGGAAGCAGAGCAGGGAATTTTCTTTGTTATCTTGTCGTATCTGTTCTCAGTATAATTGCATCATTCCACAAGTATTAGTTAAGACTCCACTCACTTTCCTGGCTTGTAGATATAATGCTGGAGGTAAGCAGAAGGGAAAAGGAAGCAGGAATTGTCCCTGATCCAGATGTAGACACCTACATGAAGGTGAGTCAAATTTAGATTTGATAATTTTCGTCAGCCATTTAGTCAGTGTTTAGAGAGCAGGATTCTTGCAGGCAATCTCAGCTGAAGGACAAAGAAGAAATCTCCAGACAGAATATGTTTTAAAGGTAGTTAGTATTAAGCACGGCTAGAGTAACGTAGTTGATGACAATATTTCACGCTTGGTATTTGTGTCTATATTGACAAAGAAACTTCAACATTTTGGCCTATTAGATTCTTGGACTGGATATTTGTGCAGATATAGTTGTCGGTAGTGCATTGAGAAGAGGGATTTCAGGTGGTCAAAAGAAAAGGCTAACAACAGGTAAAATAAAGTTATTTTCTTCCTCCCCTCTTTTGCTGGCACGGAGTGGGAGTGAGGGGGCCTCTTATCATCCTTGACACAAGCTTATAATGCAAAATTTCATCTTCCAGGAGAGATGATTGTTGGTCCCACAAAAGCTTTATTTATGGATGAAATATCAACTGGGCTAGACAGCTCCACAACCTTTCAGATAGTTACCTGTCTTCAGCAACTGGTGCATATCACAGATTCAACCGCACTAATTTCACTTCTTCAGCCAGCACCTGAAACCTTTAATCTATTTGATGATGTAATATTGATGGCTGAGGGTAAGATTGTCTACCATGGTCCTTGCAGTCATGCAGTCCAGTTTTTTGAAGATTGTGGTTTCAAATGTCCACAAAGAAAAGGTGCTGCGGACTTCCTTCAGGAGGTGCGGGAAGCGGCTTTAATTCTCCTTATTTCTTGCACTGCTCCTAAATTCCGTCTTCTTTTTACGTCTTAATTTTATCAATCAACAATTCACAGGTAATCTCAAAGAAGGATCAAGCATAATACTGGTGCCACGCTGACATTCCTTACCAGTATGTTTCAGTTAATCAGTTCATTGAAATGTTCAAAGCAAGTAATCTTGGACAGACACTAGCTGAAGAGCTCGCAAAACCATACGATAAATCCTGCTGTCCTAAGAGTGCCTTGTCATTTAGCATTTACTCCTCAAGAAAATGGGAATTATTCAAAGCTTGCATGGCTAGAGAGCTGCTTCTTATGAAAAGGAACACTTTTGTTTACGTTTTCAAAACTGCACAGGTTAGGATTCACTCAAATGGCTAGATCGCGCACTGTTTCCATAGATGAACTATCATTTACTTACAACTAACACATTTCAAATTCCCCTTCTCCCAACAGCTCATCTTCACTGCGTTTATAACAATGTCAGTATTTGTACGCACCAGGACGGAAGTGGACTTGATGAGTGCAAACTATCTGATGGGCTCTATGTACTATGCACTGATCAGGCTTTTTACTAATGGAGTTGCAGAGTTGTCCTTGACTGTTATTAGACTTCCTGCAGTTCAAAAACAAAGATCATTCTACCTATATCCAGCATGGGCTTATGCCATTCCAGCCTGTATACTAAAGATTCCATTTTCACTTCTTGATTCTATACTCTGGACAGGCATAACTTACTATGTTATAGGGTATAGCCTTGAAGTGACGAGGTAAGGTCGCGTGTTATACCACCAAAACTAAGAATTATAGTCTTCATAGAAAAAGCTTTCTTTTCAGTCTACGTTATATATAATTCCTGTTCAACCTGTGGGATCAAGGTTTCTTTGCCAGTTTCTTCTGCTATTCGCTCTCCATCTAGCCTCAACATCGATGTGTCGATTCATTGCCTCAATTTTCCAAACGATGGTACTTGCAACAACAGTTGGTTTGGTAATCTTAGTTCTAATGTTCTTGTTTGGAGGCTTCATTCTTCCACGGCGTAAGCTGAGTTCATAATTTCCTTTTGCTTTAATACAAAAGGAGGACAGGTAGACTAACTAAAGTTTGGTTCTTGCAGCCTCTTTGCCGCCTTGGTTGAGGTGGGGATTCTGGATTTTTCCCATGACATATGGGGAAATTGGCATAACCCTAAACGAATTCCTTGCTCCAAGATGGAAAAAGGTGAGCCCTAAAAGTGCCCTATTGTTGGTTCCTTGCTAAATTGACACGAAAACCTTCATAACTTGAGTTCATTTTCGATCACAGATGTTAAATGGAAACACCACCATAGGAAATGGTGTCCTGACCAGCCATGGTTTGAACTTCGAAGGCTATTTCTATTGGATATCACTAGGGGCTTTGTTTGGATTCACAATACTTTTTGATCTTGGCTTCATCTTAGCCTTAACTTACTTGAAACGTAAGTCATTCTCGAACAATTTTAACGAAGACTAAAAAATAGAAGGGCGGCCACTGTTAGCTGTGAACCTCTGCCCAGATTTTTTTTTTATCATATACTTAAATTTTCATTTTTTTCCTTTCTATTGTATCTTTTATGGTCTAATTATATAAAATTAAGAAAATATATGGTTCACCCCTAATTCATAGTAATATTTATTTTGATTCAAAAATTCATTTCATTTATTTTATATTTTTTGATTTAGAGAAAATAGAAAGAACATTATCTGAAAATTGTAAAAGATAAAAATGGTTGGTTTTCGTGATAAATACAATAAAAATTATCAAATTTAATGTTAATAAATTTTATTTGATAAGAAAAGTTTAACATGATGTGTTTTTTTATAAACATGTCTAAGAAAAAGATCAAGCACCATTTTGATTCTTTAGATATTGTTTTCTAGATGATATAAAAAACTTTTTATGGTATTTATTAAAATTTTTTGAATGAAAATCAATAAAAAATAAAATTTTAACCCTTAAAACCCTATCTCGTAATTTCCAATCATAAAAATAATAGCTGGATTCTTCATTAAAAAAAAAAAAAAGGCCTCAAAGCACAAGTCTCACCCGGTTCCACACATTTAATTTTTTTTAATTCCCTGACTTGCTAGCCCATTTAGGCATTCGTGTCTTGCCTACTTTTGTATTTTTATTTTTAAAACAATTTCTTAATTAATTGTTTTATTTTTTTAATTTTATTTTTAATATTAAATTACTTTTTACTTTTTTTTATCATATATTTAAAATAAAAAAAATATTATTAATCCATTAAAAACAACAACTCAAGTTACAAGTTTAAAAAAATTAATATAAATTAATTAAAATTAATTTAATATATCATGTTTGAATGTTAAAAAAGTTATCATTATTTTTTATTTTTTAAAATTATTTAAATAAGGTTAAAATAATTATTATATAATTTAATAAAAAATTTAACCTTAACAAAAACTCCGGCCTCTTGGCTGAGAATTTTTAAGTTTGACTTGCTAGATTGAATTTAACTTCAATGTCAATAAATTCCTATACTTTTGATATTTTTTTTTAGAATAACTTTGATAATTTTTTTAAATGCTGCGGCGAGTAAACTAGTATGAAAAAATGGAAAAGAAAATTTAAATAATAACTGACAATAGCTTACCTTTACACAGCACCGAAGATGTCCAGAGCTATTATTTCAAAAAAGAGGCTCTCTCAACTCCAAGGAAGAGAAGATCAGGAGTGGAGTAGGCAACCAGACAATGAATCAATCCCAGCTCATAACGCAGAAACAAGAAAAACAGGTAAGATAAACGGAACTATTGTTAACTCCAACTTCAACATGATCAAAAACTCATGCAACAAGTATTACGCTGTTGGTTATACAGAGATGATGGTTCTGCCATTTGTGCCCCTAACGATGACATTTAAGGACGTGCGGTATTTTGTTGACACACCCCCAGTAAGTTTAACCACAGTTCAAATATAATAATTATAAGAGTGTGATCCTCAGTAGATTTCAATGATATATCTATTATGTAGTACTTCTGCACAGGAAATGAAATAATTATAAGAGTCTGTTACCACACGAACGGACTCACCAAACTCCCCTTTGCCCTTTCATTTCAAATTGCGAAGCATTGTTTGCACTTTATCTTTGTGTTGTACATCTTGTCAATTCTTTCAATGTGAGCAAGGTGGCTGCTGCTGTCACCTTCATTCTAAGGATGCACGCATGAAAGCCAACCAGATGGCAGATGCATTTTCACCTCAAATGTATCTGGAGCTTACACCTGATTGCATTTTTTTTCAAAACAGCACATTCCCTCTAACCTCTAGTGATTGCTGCAAGCCAAAATTAGACAGATGCCAGAGGCCAGGGCCAACCTCGTCCATTCAAATATTCGGGCATTTCTTCAGCTGAAATGGCTCGCCGATCGTCGGACGTGGGTCAGCCGGAATGTCCACAGTGCTTCGGTTGATGGCCGTGCTGTTGGTTGAGTTACTATTCTTTTTGGGTGTAGTGGGCTTAAGGCTCGGGCTTATTCTATGAAGGCTTAGAGCCTTGTGCATTGTCAACCGAAAACTTTTATGTATTCAGGAATGCTCGGTCACCATTCATGTAAGCTTATCGAGTATTTCGAGGTATGGTCACCAGTACAAGCACTGAACTTCTTTATAAGCAAATGAAACCCTAGTTGTAATTAACAACCATCATTTTTATCAACGATTTTTCTTACCCTTACTATTAGACTTGTCAGGCATCGTCCTGAGTGTGAATTCGATACCAATAACTTATTTACATGTCTTCACTACTGGACAGGGTATTTCAGGTGTGCCAAAGATCAAAGATAACTACAATCCAGCAACATGGATGTTGGAGGTTACTTCTGCATCGATGGAATCAGAACTTGACTTAGATTTCGCAAAACTTTATAAGGAGTCTCCTCTGTACCAGTAAGTATATATTTCATATCCATTTCCAGCAAAGCAAAACTTCATGGAAATGTTTTATAGCACAATTCGTTTCCCGGATTTTTTGACATGATATGCACCCGTCGTGCTGTTAGCTAGATGGCTTATAAAATAATCATAACTTCAATTGCATTCTCTGTATTAATCATAAACTTCATATTACTCTTTGATCATAGGGAGACGACTGAGTTGGTCCGACAGTTGAATAAACCTCCTCCAGGTTCAAGAGACCTGCAGTTTTCCACTCCTTTTCCACAGAGTATATGGGAGCAGTTTACAGCATGCTTATGGAAGCAACACTTGTCCTTTTGGAGAAGTCCTGAGTACAACTTGTCACGATTCATCGTCATTATCGTTGCATCGCTGTTGTTTGGAATAGTCTTTTGGCAGAAGGGAAAGGAAATGTTAGCTCATCTATCACTTCAACTTAAATCAGAAAAGCAGCATCAATTTCTTAAGAACTGATGAAATGCCTTTCCTTTGTTCTTGTAGAAACAACGAGCAAGACTTGGTCAACATACTTGGATCGATGTACATTGCTGTAGTATTCCTGGGCTTAAACTGTTAGGAGATCCAAACATTCAAACACACACAAATTTACGTGGTTCGGCAACTTGCCTACTCCATGGAGCTACTGGTTTGTATTAATCAAGCTCAAAAGCAATACAAACAACAAAACAAGGAGGAGGAGTAAACTTCTCAACTCAACTCAACTCTCACCCTTAGCTCTCTCCCTGTGTTTCTCTCTATCTCGTGTTTTTTTATCTCATCTATCAATACACCTTCTATTTATAGCTGAGGAGGGAGATGATTGTTCAACAATGGTGGGCAAGTTAGGCACCTACCATTTGACTATGACTTCAACCATGGCTGCCACCAACCATGGCTGCCACCAAACATGGCTGCCACCTACCATGGCTGCCACCGTCCATTTGTGTCCACACATATAACAATCTCCCACTTGGACACAAATGGTGTTAGATTTGTCTTTTAATCTTCAAAACCCACTGAAGCTTTACACAGCTTCAGTTTATCGAGAGTAACTCCTTTGGTTAACATGTCGGCTGGATTCTTGCTTCCACAGATCTTTTCAAGTAACAGTTGTTCATCGTCGAGCAATTGCCTGATGAAGTGATATTTGATCTGTATGTGCTTTGTTCTGGAGTGAAATGCTGGATTCTTGGCAAGGAAGATTGCACTCTGACTATCATTATACAAAGTACCTTTTCCATGCATCTTGCTCAATTCTTGCAGAAAACTCTGTAGCCATACTATCTCT